GAACCATAGCTAAACACAAGATCTTCTTGTATCGTCCCTCAGGTTTACTTTTGCATTAGATGGTTCTCATGAGTCAGTGCAGTGTACCTGTCTTGTTCAAACAGAATCAGAAATGCTCAGTCTGCAGTTTAAAACCCTTCAGACTGAGTGATGGTGAAACTTGGGTTGTGACCTCTGGTGGTGTTTCAGACTAATGCTTGCCGTCGTCTGGATAACTGATTTAGAGTTGAGCCCTGTTCAGTTAGTCAAATACATCTGTATCATTTATTTCACCATGACAAACAGAGGCAGGACTGAACTTCTGTTGTTCTGTACTTGCGCATAGTACCTGGAAGAGTCTGGACATGTGTACAGAAATGAGAAAGGAACTGGAGATCTTAAGACCTCACCACATCTAGATTTACATTACAAATTTGTGTGGCTCTTCCCTGTATTAACCAATCTACTTGAAGCTTAACAAAATTGAATGTGGAAAGTATGTATCCCCATCAGCACCTGAATTTTGGGTGGTTAGCAGGGGGCTGTTTTCTGTTGCTATGTCTTTTGGAACAGGAAGAAGGGGTGTGTGTGTTTAAAACGTTGGATAGAAATGTTTGATGCTATGTTCTCATTTTATCAGAACAGTTTGGCCAAAACCAAGCCTCTGAACCGATTTGGTTTGTGCCTTCGTCATGCAGCTGTAGTTTTTGTTTGTTCTGATTTGTCTGAGTGGGTCTTCTGTTTAACACTGATTAAAATTGCTTCTTAATTTGTAAATGAGGCTGATGTTGCAAGAACACACCAATTAATTATGGGGAAAGATACATTCTATGTGAATATTGACATAAGGGGCCATTATGGAATCACAGAATACTTGAGGTTTGCAGGGACCTCTGGAGATCATGGAATACAACCCCCCTGCTCAAGCAGGGTCACCTAGACCAGGTTGCCCCAAACCATATCTGGTCAGGTTATGAATATCTTCAAGGATGGAAACTCCACAACCTCTGTGGGCAACCTGTTCCAGCGTTTGATCATGCTTGCAGAAATTTTTTTCCTTACGTTTACAGGATTTCTTGTATTTCAGTTAGTGCCGATTGCCTATTTACTCCCTGCCACATCAGGGTTTTATATCCATTGATACGATTTCCCTGCCCCCTCCTCCCCTCTCCAGGCTGAAGAATCCCAGCTTTTTCAGCCACTCCTCATATGTCAGGCGCTCCAATTTGTGGCCCTTTCTTTGCTAGATACTCTCCGGGATGCCTATGTCTTTCTTGCACTGGAGAGCCCAGAACTGGACCCAGCACTCCACATGTGCCTCACTAATGCTGAAGAGAGGGGAAGAATCACCTCCCCCAACCTGCTGGTTATGCTCTGTGTAAGACAACCTAGGATGCTGCTGGCCTTCTTTGCCAGAAGGGCACGTTGCTGGCTTACGTTCACATTTTTTGTCCACCAGGACCCACGGGTCTTTTTCTGCACAGCTGCTTTCCAAATGGTTGAATCCCCAGCACTTACTGTTGCATGGGGCTGTTTCTCCCAGGTGCAGGGCTTTGTGCTTTACTGTGTTGAACTTCATGAGGTTCCTGTCTGCTCATACCTCCAGCCTGCATAACCATCTGGTGCTTCAGTCACTCTCTTCAGTTTTGTATCATCTGCAAGCTTGCTGAAGTTGCTGTCTGTCCTATCATTGGGGTCATTAATGAATATATTAAATTATATTGCCCCAAGGTATGAACATCTGGGGTACTCTGCTGGTGGCTGACCTCCAGCTGGACTTTGTGCTGGTAATCGCAACCCTTTGAACCTGGCAGTTCAGCCAGTTTTCTGTCCACCTCACTGTCTGTTTAGCTAATCCATACTTCATCAGCTGTCTTGGAGGATGCTATGGGAGACAAAGCCTTACAAAACCTTGAAAGATACAAGATAAAGACTATCACTGATGTTCCCTTTTCCACCAAACCAGTCATTTTATCATAAAAGTCGATGAGGCATGATTTTTTCCTTCATAAATCCATGCTGATTAGTCTCAATTACCTTCTTGTCCTTAACATGTTTGAAAATTATTTCCAGGGTTACTTGTTCCATCACCTTCCCAGAGATCAAGGTGAGGCTGACCAGATGTAGTTCCCTAGGTCCTTCTTATTACCCGTGTTGAAGGTGAGAGTGACGTTAGCTTTCTTCCAGCCCTTAGGAATCTCCTCAGTTGTCTTGACCTTTCAAAGATAATCGAGAGTGGCCTGACAGTGACACTGGCCAGCTCCCTCAGCCCTTGTGGGTGTGTCCTATCAGGTCCTATGGAGTTACGTATGTCCAATCTGTTTAAATATTTCCTTACCTGATACTTTTCCATTGATTTAAGTTTTCCTTGCTCCAGACTTTCCCACTGGTCTCAGGGGCTGGAATTGCTGAAGGCTGATCTTACCAATAAAGACTGAGGCAAAGCTCATCTTTCACCATGTCCTTTGTCACCTTTTCAGTCGAGGGCTCATATTTTCTATAGTCTTCCTCTTGCTGCTGATACACCTGTAGAAGCCCTTGTTGCCATTCATGTACTTCTGCAGTTTCAGATTGAGGTAGACTTTGGCTTTCCTAACCCTGTCCCTGCATGCTCAAAGTGTCTCTATATTCTTCCTGCGTCATCTGTCCTTGCTGCCACCTCTCATATGCTGCTTTTTCATGTATGAGTTTTGTCAGGAGCTCCTTTTTCATCTATGCAGGCCTCTTACCACTCTTGCTTGAATTCCTATTGGGATGGACCATTCTTGAGTCTGGAGGAGGTAATCCTTGAAAATCAGCCAGCGCTCCTGGACCTGTCTTCTATTCAGGACCATATCCCATGGGATTCTTCTAAGCAGGTCCCTGAACAGGCCAAAGTGTGCTCTCCTCAAGCTGGCGTTGTAAGCCTGCTATATGTCTTCTTTCTCTCAGGATTCTAAACTCTACCGACTCATGGTCACTACAGCCAAGGCTTCCCCAAGGCTTCATATTCCTGACCAGTTCTTCCTTTGTTTTAAGTATCAGGTCCAGCAGAGCATGTCTCCTTGTCAGCTCCTCCATTACCTATGGCAGGAAGCTATCACCACTGCACCTCAGAAGGCTTCTGGGTCGCTTGTGCCCTGCTGTCTTGCCCTTCCAGCAGACACTAGGGTAGTTAAAGTTTCAGTTTCACTGGGTGGAAGTTAATACACCAGGATTCATGGGTAGCTCCCTGTCTGTGACAGGGCAAGATGTGGGTAGGGGTAGACATTGTGGGTAGGTAGACATTGATGCAGGAAGAAAGTGCTACAGATATTAGTGGCCAAACATACATCTTAGTATGGGCGGCATTGCTGTAAACATGAAATAAGATACAGTTGATAATATGGAGGTGAGAAAAAAGCCAGAGGGCTGCTCAGATTGGAATTGCTGGCAGAGTAATCCTAATCTAATGTTGACCAGGTAAAAATCTGCAGGTAGGGGGGAAAAATTTTAATGCTGCGAGTTACAGGTTGCTAAACAGTAACATGAGAAAACAGGTCACAAAATGCCATTCAGGCTTCTTGGTGAATTGAAACTATGGAAACATATAAAAGAAGCTTCAGGTGTGTTTCAGCAGTACAAAGGTAACAAGCTCTGATAATACCCTTGATGTGATACTGTTCTTAAAAACAAGTTTTAAATATCTTATTTCATGTGATAAAGCTGAAATAAGTCTTGAATGTGGTGTAAATAAAAAATTATAATTTCAGTAAAAATACCATTTTGTGACTATGTAGGGAA